TACCAGGAGATGCACACAGAACAAAATGATGCTTGATAGAATGTGTGTCTGGAATGCAGAGAATGCATTTTGAAACACCAGTGTTGTGTGAAGAGATATAATACTAGGAAAATGCAATAAAATCAGCACATAATGTCAAGGGTAGTCAAGGGAACATCCAACAACTGCCTCGAATCATTAAATTCTGATTCACAGCAGTATGTTTCAAGCATAGATAATGTTTTACAACTGCCAAATGTGAAGACAAACTGCAAACAAAACCAGTCACATTAACATGAGAAGGTATCTAAGGAGAGAAAATCTTCATAGGCAGCAGACAAGATGTCACTTCCATATTTAACAAAAAATTCTGTGAGATGAGTGCATGCCTGAAGGACGCTTGTATCTAATAATAGCATTGTCTCACACGATCTCTTTCTATGGCAAAGGTTTCTGGGCACACCCACATGGGGAGAAATCTGAGCTGATCATAAACAAGAGAGGCTGGAAGCAGCGAGAGCATACTGCCTCCCCAAGACAGTCAGCTTTATGGCACTAATGTGGGACCTGAGCTGCATTAAACACTTGGACTAAATTCTTCAGAAGGCACTAGAGTCTTCTGCAAGGAATTTTCTTGCATCCAGTTTCCCCTTCCAAAGAGTCTTGCAAACACAGGTGTTTAGCTTCTTACAAATCCAAGTGGAAAAGAAATCAAGTAGAAGGACAAAAAGCTCTTAGGCATGTGAAAGGTCTAAATTCTCTATGTATGATGAGATGGTTTTACACATATACTTTATATGTGTTATGTTATTTGATTTTACGATGGGTTTTTGTTTGAGATTTGAATGTACTTAGTTTTATTTAAGTATGCTTCAACTGCTGTTCCTATAAGCACCAGAAAATACCCTCCTACCAAAAAGAGGTGTCAAGATATAACAGAACTTTTTCTTCATTCAGTTGTGATAAGATACCAGAAAGAAGTTAGATTAAAAAAAAATTTAAAAAAACCCCAAACAAACAAACAAACAAACCCTGAGCTTATGCCAGAAAGATGAGGCGATGTCACATCAGGGTTTTTTTATATCCCCCTTTCAAATGCTGACTGATGAATAACAGGCCAGAAGTACAGTATTTTTAGAACAAATTTAAGGTGTCATGTGCCTGATAATATTGAAATATTCCTACTTGCCTAACTACTTTTGAGATCCAGTTATTTGGTGTATTTTATCTTATGGACAATGTATTTAAGCTATAGAAAATATGTAGGCTTCAGCTGTTAAAATATTGGAGGTACACTGACGTATGTCTTGTACATTTATGCTTGGAAATACTGAGAGTGATAAATAGCAAAACATCAGAGGAAAACCCAGGTACTTCCTAGAATTAGTTGAGAGCTTTTAGAGTACAGTGTACACTTCGGAAAAGTATTGCTTGCCAAACTGCGATTTTCCCCCAGGAATGTGCTGTTAGCAATAAAATGTTAGTTGGCAAAGTATTTTGACATCAGATGTGGAATTCTTAGATGGATTTAAAGATAAATTAATCTAATTAATTACTTGGCAGTTACAGTAGCCTTCTAAAATGTAGGTGTCTTAGGATATGTCTGCATTGGATATTTAACTCAGCCTGAAGAAGGCAATCCTTGTCTGTGATAAATAAGAGGTACCAATGATTTGTTCTGTTGGCGTTAGGTTGTCTACTCTGTTCTTCTTTCTGACATATCACTAGAGGCAGAATGACTGGAGACAGCTGTAGAACTTGGATCACCCATGTTCTCTGGTTTAGGATGTGTCTGTAAAATACTCACAAGGAAGCTGCTCATCATAAATCTAAAGAGTCATCTGATCCAATGACTCTTCAGACAGTAATTTTCAGTAACATCTGATTATGATGTTAATGACAATTACTGTCATCTGATCAAGATGTTACTGATATATGGTGCTTAGATGATATATATCAGATGTCGTATCAATAATTTTTAACCTGGATTCAGCAGCTGGTTAGAGGCTGTTCAGATTTTTGCCCAGATGTCTGATGCTCCTAATGATATCTAATGATAATCCCATTGATTTACAGCCACAATCTACAGTTCTCCAGAGGCTTACAGACAACTAAATAAATACATGTCAATCAGTGCCTGATCTGGGTCAGCTTTAGTCAAGCAAATCTTCTCTACCAGAAGAACATTTTCTATCAAATAAAGTAGACAAGGTAAACCATTACTTTGAAATATGCAACCACACTTACAAATTTTCCTTATCCTGACTTCTAAGGCTGTGCATGAGGAAAGGCTGCATCTTCCTAACCAGTGACTTGTGAAAATTCATAAGATCACAGGAGTAAGGTGAGCTTGTTTTTCTGCAAATAAATGCTCCAGCCCATTATGGCTCTAATTTATAATAAGTTCTGCTCAGGTCTTTTGACTACATCTTTCTTGAGATACGTTTTATATCAAGGAACAGAGGAAGTTATCATGTCATGCAATAGAGCATCTACTGAGTTTTGCAGAACTCTTTAATAGTGATTAAAACAACTCCTTCTAGGACAGTTTTCTCAATAAGAAATTCACTTTGATTTTAATACGAGGTTACTAGTGTAAAAATTGCATTTGGTTTTAAATCTTTTGGCACAATATGAAGTCCCTAAAGTTAGCCCATTGCCAGTACTTAATAAATAAGTATAGGAAACAAAGGAATAAATACAAACACAACTTAATAAATACAAACACAACTTCTAAGCTTCCAGAAAACTTGTGTAAGACAGTGATTATTGATCATATGCATGGCTATTTTGTAAGCTATGTATGTTTTCCAAAGTAAAGCCTGAATACAAGCACAGTTACCAGAAGATTAAATTTCTTTCTGTATCATTTAAGAAGGACTACACATACTGCATTAGTAGGAAATACTGATTTTGGCAATACATTAGGAGGACACAAGCTTATAGCATACTGTAGAGATGAAGTCTGAACTAACACAGACTTTCAGCTAAACTGTTACCCTTGATTAGCTAAAGATCCAAACTTTACCTCATCTTCTTTCCTCTAATCACCCAGTCATGCTCCAATACTCTAAGACACAAGTTTAATGGGATTAATTGTGGTATTCTGTGCTTTTAGTTTGTTGGTATGTCTAAACGTCTTTGAACTCACCCCCAGAAAAAGTAAAATGCACTCCCAGAGTAATCAGTTCTAACAGAGAAAAAAGCTGATTAAAATGTGTGAAGATGAATATAAAAATTTTTCAGCAATAATTGTAATATTGGAATTGTATCCTCTCAGTATTTCTCATAACTGAGTTCCTTTTTAATTTCCTTTTATGTACAGAAACATAATTCCAATTAAAAGCACTTCTTTACCGTGACATCCAGTAAGAGTGACTTGTTAGGCAAATTTTTGTAAAATTATTTTTTTGTTACTATTAGAAGAATGATTCTATATTAGTTTAACCTGCCTGTGAATTAAGTTAAAATTAGTGCCTTTATCTAGTTCTTTGTTCACTTCCCAGAAGAATGTATAGTCTGAATGCTTATATTTCTTCTGCAGTTGCAGTAGATAATCGCCCATACTTTCTAATTTATTTCTAATTTATTTATGCCTCTGTGATAGAGACAGATTCTTGGTCCTGACAGTTATTTACATCATGAACTGATATTTTAAAAAGTGTAAAAGTGCAAAATAAGAAAATACAGTTTGTTAAACTGACTTACCTCAAAAAAAACCCAAAAAACAACAAACTAGAATTGCATTGAGAAGCACTTCTCAGTAGTAAATCTGGCTAGCAGCTATCTCAGTAACTATTTGGCTGTCCCAGAAGGCTGATGCAACTTGCATAACACTACATTGCTTGTCAGAGGTAATCTAAGGAGAAGACAAGCACCTACAGCTTCCTCAGAGTTTCCGTTGGAGAGATGAACACCATCTGTGATAATCAGAGCATTATCACGTTGACAGGATTTTAGAGATTTGACATCATTTTAGAAACCTGTATTTGCAAGTGTATTTTTCCTTTGAAGCTTCAAAGAGCTGCAAATCACTTAAATCAGGTGAGAACACATGCCATTGAGGACTACTTACTGAGCAGTTCAAAGTACAGGCTGCTTGTTGGTACTAGTCATCGCCAGCATTTTTAACTCTGTTGAGCTGAAGGAACAAGAGACATACAGTATTACAGTAGAACATCTGTCAGGAATTTTAAAAAGTATTTTAACTAAAATATTAGTGAATTGAGTTAGAACAAGTCACACAGAGACCAGAAACACAAAGGATAAAGGAGATCCCCTTGTTAAGTCACAAGGTTCAGAACAGGCCACCTTCTTTTCTAAACTCCTTATGGATCCTAGGGAGAGCTAAATCCAATCTTAGTGTTGGGTTTATGTGCAATGAAATTAACCTATGCAACAAAGAAGATGAAGACAAAGACAAAGACGGGGAAGACGACAAAGAAGGAGAAGGAGAAGGAGAAGGAGAAGGAGAAGGAGAAGGAGAAGGAGAAGGAGAAGGAGAAGGAGAAGGAGAAGGAGAAGGAGAAGGAGGAGAAGGAGAAGGAGAAGAAGGAACTACATCATCGATTAGTAACCTTTCTTTACTATTAAATCAGCATTATTTCAATCACTTACCAAGGATCTGTCAAATTTAAGGGACCACTCCATCTTGGGTAAGAAAGGCTATCCTAGTCCAAGGTAAGGAATTTCAAACCTCAGGAGGCATCTGTGCTGAAGAGGGGAGTCACCTGGCATTCAGTTCAGCTGTAGTTCAGGGAGAGCTCAAATTGGGCTCATCCTGACAGTGATAATAGCAGAGTGAAGTAGTTGACTGCTAGTCAGTAATAAAGACAAGACAGATGTCTTCATTTCGGCTGTACCATCTTATTCTGTGCTTTAGTTATCTTGTAAATTTGGGATTTGAAACCATCTCTGGAAATATTTTTATGAGGCAATTTAATTTCTTTATACATGAGCCAGGAGCTTAACAGCATTCAAGTTCACTGTGGTAGTTTGTTGTTTTGCAGTTTGTTCTTCTGTAGTAAGTTTTAAATATTCCTTGTTATAAGTTTGTAATGGTTCGTTCCATGTACTCCATTTGGCTTCCTGATTGTTCAGTCCTGAGTTGTTTACCTCAAGATTCTCCCACCACACACCTGTAAATCTTATTGTAGCGCCTTTGTTCCCTCCTGGAATGTTCCCTGTCCTTCATCCCTTCCTCGAAACAAGATTGGGGTGCAGGGCTTGCTCCTTCCCCTTGGTGGCTTCTATTGGATAGCCCTTACCTTGCACTCCTCCCCTAATGCTTTCCTGTTGGTGAAAGGCTGTGTCCTGCCCTTATTCCTGTCTCTCCTTAAAAGCAGCCTTTTGCCCCCAGTTTTCATCATTTGTCCCTGAATCCTCTATGGAATAAAACTTCCTTGGAACTCAAAACAAGTGACCCCTCTCTATTCCTTTGCCTGGTTTCTTGTACTGTGCTCCTGCTCTGTTGCCCACGCCACAGCTGTCTGCTGCAGGGACCTGCGAGCCCCTGTACACACCGCCAGCTGGGGGAACTCAGTGAAGTTCCAGTGTGTCACTCAGTGTGAAGATCACTCCCGTGACTGCACACCAGCCTCAGGGACTGGGGAACATCTTCCCCGTGACCACAGTGCACAGATACAGTTCACCACAGGGCATGAAGCCTGTTGCAGCGTGTACCGTGCACGGCGTGCTGGGCGGCTGTGGCTGGGATGCAACCGTCCCCCTGCGAGCTTTGCAATTCCCAGTAACTGCTGGTCCAGCACGAGGACGGATAACGACGACATGGGGCTCGGGGTGTTCCAGAGTGGGCTTATTAGGTGGAGAAAATGGAGAACCAAGACCAGCTGGGGAGGGCAAACAGAAGATTTTATACATAACTCAGGAGGAGGGGTGTAGGAGCAATAACCAATGAAGGTAGAACTGGGGAGGGGTCTGAGGTGGGACTAACATATCACAAACCTATCAGGGGAAATAAGGGAGTGGAATAACACAAAGTAACAAATAGGGTGTTGAGTATAACTAAATGGACAGGGAACACTCTGGAAGAAGGGGAGGGGACTAGAAGGAGTGACAAGGAATGTTCTGGGGAAAGGGGCAGGGAAAGAGAGGATTGACAACTTGGAGGGGAGGAGGTTAGGGAAGAGCTTGGGAAGATTGACAGCTGGGGAGGGGAGAAGATTAAGGAGAAGAATAGGGGGCAAACCTAAACTCTCCACAAAACAAAACACACCACAACAGAGGCCTGTTGCTCCTTAGTCAACCTGAGCAAACACATGGGTGAGGGTCAAGTGTGTCCATGACAACCATCTTACATAATATCTGCTGTGATTTTGTTTAATGCACTTGATATTTTTCTCTCATATTGACTTAGTAGTGGAGCATTATCAAAATCTGTATTTGCTTTTGGAAAATAGCTTGCAGTGAGATGACTGTCTATCATTTTGTGGGATTTTTACATGAAAATAATATGGGTTTTATAAAAACTAAAGAAAATACTCAGAATTTTAAATCTGTGAAGTAAATGTTTCACATGTATGTAATGAGATCATATTCTCACTCATTATTAATCCTCCATTGAATTTATACTTGACTAATACAAAAGGCAGCCAAGTTTTCGTGTTAGAAGCTAATGATTCCAGTTTAAGTTAATAGCTGAATTAACACACACACTGCGTTTTTTCAAGCAGCTGGAAGTCTGCCCAATATACAAGACTGAGATGATTTCACTGGACATTTATTGCTCTGCCTTTCTGACAATCTGTCCTTCTTGAGCAAGCTAATTGTTAGCCAGCTATGGCACTCACTGCTGAGCTGGTGTAGCTCATATTAACACACGAGCTAAAGCCTCTCAGTACATGAGATCACAGGAACAAGAAGCAGTGTTCTAGTCAATAAACAGAGTGGTGGACAGAAGAAAACACCTGACAAGTTTTCATCACTCACCAAGGAGCAGAACTGGCACACCGCACTATATAAATATACCAGCTGGAAGAATCAAGGAATAAGTAAGTTCAGTGAATGCATTTGTATTCTTATACTACACGGAAAGCATAAGAACTGCAAATCAGAGAGATGTGTTACATTTCTTGTTTGATATTATTATAGCTGACAAGCAGCAGATGGGACAAAATAAGACTATACCTAAGGACAAGCTGTTATTAAATATTAACCAAATTGTCAGTTCTTTGTATTGTAACCACTCTGGGAAAGTTCAATTTACCTTCTAACAGAAGGCCAGTTATTTCCTTGCCTAGCTGACCAGATGTTAGTTTTTCTCTTTTCTTTTTTAAATTTCTTACTAACAAGTGATTTTCTACTTGCTTTGCCTTTTATGATCATTTTGTCAGGCATCTACTACATAATTCATAAAGTACTAATGAGAAGAGTAGTAATATGGTTAAAACCCATGTACTTTACCTTAATGGAAAATTATACAAACCATAGGAAAAATACTTAAGAAGAGGAATACAAGAATGCATGACTTCTAAGGTGGCAGCTGCAGTTTACAGATACAGGGCTGAGGTAGCAGATCTTGGTTCAGCCCCAAGCAGTCATATGTGATGTCTGTGTAGTCGCTTTCCGATCAAGTACTCCAAATAATCTGGAAAAGTTTTCCAGAACACTGGAAAGCAGGAAAGAAAAAAACATTATGAATGGTAAAAGGGAAATTGCTAAAAAGTATTTGATAATAATATATGAAGTTTTGATCTAATTGTAATTAAGGCACATACACAAAGGTATTTCTCCTTTGTTTCCTACTAACACATCTTTTAGACTGCTTGAAAAGTAAATCACCTAGTAGAAGGCCTTATTTCCCACAATTTCCTTTTCCTCAGAGCTGCTCTCAATCACTTTTCCATCTAGCCTGTAGCTGTGGCTGGTATTGCCATGACCCAGGTGCAGGACCTTGTCCTGGAAATTCCTTGTCCTGCCTTTCACCTGTGATATTTCAGGAATGCTTTGGCTTTTAATGGTGATTCACCAATATTATAATTAGGAAATGTCAGTGTTTCTTATGAAAAAAAAAAAATCTCTTTTTTCCACTGTTCTTCTGTTACTAGAAGGGGAGCAATTATTTTGACTGCAACAGCACATATACTGTTGCAGCTTTGTAATTATATAAGGATACTTCATCCCCTCATAATACCACATGCCAATTTGGGAAAGCAGCAGATGACCATATGAGATTTCAATGAGACAGGGTTGTCTTTGTTTTGTTTTGTTTTGTTTTGTTTTGTTTTGTTTTGTTTTGTTTTGTTTTGTTTTTATTAAAGTAAAACAAATCTTCAGTCTTCATTAGAATGACTGAAAAATAATGTCAATTAAAGACATAATGGCTATTACATGCCTTAAGTAAATTTATGGTCATAACTGAGTAACTACTGGAAAACAGCTATCTGGACTCGGCCAGGAATTGAAAGGATATTAAGCTCTGGTACTTGAAATAATAATGTTTTATTGAGTTAGCGTAAAAGACAAAGTTCATGAGGGAATGTAATTTCATGAGTGAAAGAGTGATAAACAAATTGGTTAATGTGTTAAAGAATTTACAAGTTGCAGTCTCAACAAATAAATATATATATATACTTTCTAGTTAATTTTTATGACAGGAGTTATTCCTCAAAGCTGGAGTCAGTCATTGGAGATTTGCACATATGGTGCTTTTTTCAGCAGTAGGAAAGTCTATGCCAGGAACCTCTGTAGTAGTCCACAATCCAGACATACTCTAAAATCCTACCAAAGCCATCTTTGTGACAAACAGAAAGAAGATGCATAATCCCAGCCACTACTGTTGTGCTGCTGGGCATGTGGTCAGCCAGCTTTCCAGTGGCCTCTGGATAGAAGTGTTGTTGAGGAGAAGAAAAGTGCAGTGTGGTGCAGAACATGCCTTTCCTAGAGCAGTGAAGGACTGTGAGGAGTCCTTCCTGTGAGGAGGAAGAAGTGAAAGAGATGTGTGAAGAACTGACCTCAGCCCACATTCCTCGTCCTTTTGTGCTTCTAGGGAATGGAGGAGGTGGGGAAAATAGGGAGTGAAATTAAACTCAGGAAGTAAGAAGGGTTGGGGAAAGGTGTTCTAAAATTTGAGTTTATTTGTATTCATCTTACTCTGATTGGAAATCAATTAAACAAATTTCCCCAGTTCAATTCTGTTTTATTTCTAATAGTAATTAGTGAGTGATCTCTCCCTGTCCTTATCTTGACACATAAGCCTTTGGTTCAGTTTTCTCTCCTCTTTTCAGCTGAGAAGCTGGGAGGTGATAGAGTGGCTTTGATGGGCACCCTGCATCCAGCCAGGATCAACCCACCAACCCACCATACTGTCTACCAAAAAGTGAGGAAGCATCTGCATACACTCGAGATCCCCTCTTCCAGGCAGCTGTATTACAACCACAGTTGTGACATCATCTGGGCAACAAGTGGCACATTTCTTATGTCTGTTCATGTGGGAATAGTAGCAAAGTCCTTCTTTATTTCTTTTTGCCAGCAGCCATCTGATATTCTGACATCATGTCAGAACCAGTGGCACAGATAAAGCTCCATGAGATTCACAGCCTGCAGAGAAATTTTCTCTGTTAGCTACTTTGAAAGCTTCCCTTGCACCTACTTTCCACTTCAAGGAGATGAATCATTGATTGAGAAACTAAGAATAAGCAAATTTTCACTGCTTTTGAGAAATTCAGAGTGCATGTGTACTCTTATCTCATTGTTTCTCTCCACAGAGCATTATATCTCATGACTAGCAACAGGTAGCTGTAACTCCAAGGTTTGGTAGGTCTGTTCCTTCAAAGTGGGTGACTGTTGGCACTGACAAGATGGAATTTTGCCAAGTTATAATAGCTGATGTAATACCTCTCGCTTACTGTTCCACACATAATATATTATAGGGAATTGAGATAGTTAAAGAGATGCAGTCCTCAGGAAAATTTTTGCAAATACTAGGTGTTTTTGTTTGTTTGTTTGTTTGGGTTTTTTTGGTGGTTTTTTTTGCTTTGGTCCATTCCAGAAGTGATTGGTTTCGACAGAGCTCTGAGCAGCTTGATCTAGTTGAAGGATGTCCCTGCTCAGGGACATTATAATTATTAAATAATTAAATTCTCTGTGTTGCAGGGCTGAGTTGGACTAGATAACCTTTAAATGTTCCTTCAAACCTTAACTATTCAAATTATTGAATACCTCATGTTGTGTTGTTGAAGAAGAACATGTAATCTGAATTCTTTCAAAGTATCATTTATGTTTCAAGGTGAAAGCATACAACACCCTAAAACTATTTTTTATATTTAAAAGGCCATTGCATTTCACCATTCTTTATTAAAAGTGTTCACAGACACCAGCTGACAGACATCCTCCACTTGAATTTGCAATGAATGTTTTAAAGGGAGATAGCAAGGGTCACCAATACATTTTCTCAAAAAAAAAAATTTCTTTGCCAATCATGAACTGTTTAGAAATCCTCTGTGAATAATCAGCAGCCTCTTGTCTCTTTGTGTTTCAAACTATGAATATTCTTCAAAAACATGGTGAACTCTGGGGGCTTCAAGGTGACAGTGATATGAGAGATTGACTTTGGGACCCAGGAGCCCACCAAGATTCTCTATGATTCTCTTCAGCACAGTGGGAGCAGAAAGAAAATAAGATGGGCAATAAACTTGCACGGGTTGAGATAAAGCCAGTTTAATAAAACAGAAGAGAATCTTCAATGTGTGCAAAAAAAGGAAAAAAAAACCCTGAAATATTTTATTCTTTATTTCCCACCAGTGAATAATATCCAGCCACTTCCTTGGAAGCAAGGCTTCAGCACAAACAGCAGATGCTTCAAAAGGCAAACACCGCAGGCAATGAAGGCCACACCTTCCTCCTCCTTTCCCTTAGGTTTTGTACCTGCACAGACATCCCATGACATGGAATACCCCTTTGGTCAGTTTGGGCTGGCTGTGCCAGCTAGGTGCCCCCCAGGATCTGCCCAGCCCCAGACTGCTGGCCCCTGTGGGGTGGAATGTTGGAGAGGCTGGTGCTGTGCTAGCACTGCTCAGCAGCAGCCAAGGCACTCTGTGCTGCCAACACCTTTCCAGCTACCACCGCAAAGCACAGCACTGGGAGCACTGCTGTGGGAAAAGGAACTCCACCTAGGACAGACCAAACACAAGTGTAAAGGCTGTAATAGGTGTGTGCAGAAAAATCCCTGGCATTTGTGTGAGTTACATTATCCTAATTGAGAAGTCAGCCATTTAACTGCATTTGAACAATCTGTTTCTGTTTAAAACTCCTTTTATGGTTTCCAAGCATGCTAAAATGCAAATCTGCATCTGGATTACTCACAAGGCAATTGCAAAATCTTTCATTATGTAAAATGGCCACATTTGGACATCCATAAGCCAGCAGACACTAAATGGGAGCAATCAACCTTATATTGAGTCCAATGGAATGAAATGTCAGAGAGGAGGACAGTGACTCAAGGCATAGGAGTAATTTATTAGAGAATCAGAGCTGTCTTGGTTGTCTTGCAGCATGTGCCAGTATACAAGTCACCAAATGATCTCCCTCTATAGAATCAGAATTTCAGGCTTCAGCAACTACTGTGTGTATGCTTCCACAGTAGGAGATTATTATGAAACTCCTCAGTATTTGATTTTGTTAACAGATTATTTTTCTCTTTGTACAGGTTATAGAAGGAAAATTACCTACAAAATGTACTTGTAGGAAAGTGCAGGTGTTGAGAGTCCAAAGTCCAAAAAGTCCTCTTTGTCATCACAGTGCAATCAGAAGCTACAAACGGGGTTTGTGTTCCTGATGGATATTCAGAACCTGACAAGAGAACTGTGAATCAGGGAACTTGTGACCAGAGAAGGACCACAGGAGCTGTTTACTGCACAGAAGAACACCAAGACAGACAAACACATTCTAAATGACCATTGCTGGCTCTCAGAGGCTGAAGCAGCACTTGACACAGATTATCTGGAATAGAATTTTTCTTCATTAGATCCACAAAGAGTAAGAAATCAACAAAATCTGCAGGCCCATGTTTCAATAGCAGTATGAGGGTACATGTATGGCCAATCTGAAAAACTGAACTGCAGAACTGTTCCTCTTTCTGTGATAACTATAAGCTCATGAAAATGAGGTAGGACAAGACTTCTGAGAGTCATTAATTCATTGTTCTGCTTGAACTAGAGAAATGTTAAAACATAACCAATAACATAATAAATACTCTGCACTGTATATTTGGAAATGTTAGAAACTTAATTCAATATCTTACTTGCAGTTGCTATGATTTAGACTTTAATTACAGAGTTATGCTTTGTGTTTTCATAGAATCCAGACTCAATTACTGCACCAGCTGTATGAATTGCTTGTTGGAAGCCTGTGTTCAATATTACTTTCCTGCTTCACACAGACCAATTTGTAAAGATTATGAAATTTCTCACATCTCTTGTCCCAGTAGTTGCCACTAATGTATTTCAGAAGTATGATTACTTGCCTAGTTGTTGAGACTGTACTCACTGTGCTGCAGTGTTTGCTTCAGCCTTTCAAAAGAATGTTTATGGGTGCATGTGTTAATTTCCTGGAGTTTTTGTGCTTTAGCTATACCTCAATTCCCTGCAATTGATCAAGGCAGTTAAATAT